CCCCAAAACCCCAAAACCCCAAAACCCCGTAGATCTATAAAAATAGACAAATGTCGAAATTATAATAAATAATCAATAATATAAATAGTTTTAGCTCAGAAATAGCTTTGAAGAAACTAAGGAAAAATGAGTCTTAAGTTGATCTTTAACAACGAAACGAAGAAGCTCGCAGTTGACAAAAACTACGATGCACTCGTCCTGTACGTCAATAAAGCCTTCACAGGGCTACCCTCGCCTTTCAAGTTCTACTATATGGACTCTGAGGGTGACCTGATATCCGTGACTTAAGATGAGGACCTAGAGGAGTTCAGAGAGAACAAACCATCAGATGGCTTGAAATTATACATATTTGGGAACTAGAAGGAGGCCTCCCTGTTCTTTTCATCTAAAGATCAGACAATGATGAATGAGACCTTCAGAATCATTAGCAATAATCAGCCTCAGGTGATTAATATGCCCAACTCAAATAGAAATAGAAATGAAGAGACTGCCAGAGATAGTGGCAATGCTCAAAATCACTAAGATAGTGCCTCTCAAATCAATAGAACACAAGAGAGCTCAATCAACTACTATGATGTGAGATAATCAGCCAAGCCATCAATTGAAAAGGAAGATTTTTTAACTCCTAATGACTTACCTGAGAGATAGATGTCCATTATAGGCGGGCAAAAGATGCAAAGTTAAGCCCTTAAAAATCACGTACATCATCCAAATGAGCAATAAAATAATATAGCAAGCAGCAACATGAACAATTCAAATCATCAAGAAAGGCAGTAAATGCTTCAAAGCAAGCTATAGATGATTCAATAAGAGCAAGATATGATCTTAAGTCAGAACTAGTTTAACAAAATATATGAAAGAGACAGTGTTGACTAAGACAGCAATAGTATGAATCTAGTTAAGTCAGAGATGGAAAGCGATTTAGTGGTTGTGTAAAAGACTAACAGCAATAAAAAGCAGTAAATGATGGGTTATTAGGGCTCTTAGTATGATAGACCAATCAACTTTGAGGAGTTAAAGTCTGAATATGACATTAATGAAACAGGAGAGAATAATATGTATGACGAGTCTTAATTTATAGAAAACGATCTTATCAATCAACTTAACTCCTAGAAAACTCAAATTCAACAGATTTAAAATCATAAGGATGGTGGCTAAGACCTACAACAAAAGTAGACTATGAAGACTGATGATTTTGAATTTGAAGATGGAGAATAGAACGTTAGATATATCGAAGATAGCGATGATGATGATAATAGGTTTAATAGCAATCTGAACATGGTGGGTGGAAGAGCCAACAGAGCATCAACTAAGTTGATTAAGATGGACGACTATTCTAGATCTAATTCAGTACTATCTACTGATACTAATACCTAGATTAAAAGAGTTGAAACTTTTGCCAGGGGAGAAACTATGAATTCTGAACAAAATAAATCTGGTTCAATTAGCCCTAGCAAGTCAATCAACAATCAGTAGGAATAGTCAAATAGCCAAATCTATATCTAAGCATAGGTAGAGGAGAATAAGCTAGGGGATGGACCATATTCACCTTCAAAATAAGAGAAAGAGCCCTATGAATATGTACCAGAATAGCACTTTTAAAAATCTGACACTCTCTTAACTATACCAGAACTTATTGAGAATGAATCTAGCAAATTTGAATAGTAACTCAGCAAAAAGGAGTCAGACTTTTAACAAGTAGAAGAGCAGTAAAAGTTGAACATGGATCTACTGCAGCAAAGTATGATGGATGAAATGCCTTGCTTTTCTTGCTGCGGAAAAGGAGCAGACAAGAATGTTCCTTGTGGTTTGTGTGGAGGAACAGGCAAATTACCCTAGGAAATGCTAGATCAAGTTAAAAATATTTTCTAAGAAGAGATTAATAATACTGCTCCACTCCTAGTAGCTAAATTAATGCAAAACTAAGATGATCCATTAAACTTGAACTTTGAACATATGACTGAAGATATCATTCACCCAGATACTAGATGCTATAAATGTGGCTCTGAACCAATTAAAGGAGTAAAATACCGATGTTTTGAGTGCAGAGACTACTAGATATGTGAGTTGTGTGAGAAAATTGACTCTCATGCAGATATTCACGCTTTCATCAAAGTGAGACGTCCTGAACTTGATCCCTTCCAAAATATGCATCTGCCCCCATCCAGTCACTTATTCATTGCTGAATAGCAAATTCAATAATAAGAAATCTTAGATTCAGCTCCAATAATACAAGAATTAAATAAAGTGGAGGAAGAAAAGAAAGAGTCAAATGAAGCTATTTTTGAACAATAAAACCAAAGCAATATTTTCTTTGGCTCATCTGAAAATTGTCAGTAATATCAATAATAAGAATAAAAGTAGATTGTGAAAAATCTACCATCTTCATCATATAAAGCTTCTCTTGTAAAAGAAAGCTTTGGTGATAAATATGCTGTGGAAGCTGGACAAGCATTCCAAAAAATTTGGACCTTTAAAAATGACTGTGAGCATACCTGGCCTGAAGGTTTAAGCTTTAATTATACAAATGGATAATTAATGGGAGAAAAATCCACCCATATTACCAAAGAAGTCAAGGCAGGTGATTTAATCGATATTGATGTATAGTTCACTGCTCCAAGCAAGCCTGGAACATACATTACTTACTATAAACTATAGTTTGGTAATAACAAGAGTTTTGGCCCTAAAGTATGGTGCGATATTTAAGTAAACGAACCTGAAGATGATCTAGCTAGACTTTAAAGAGAGTTCAACTAGTTCAATGTTGCAGGTGGAGATGCAGGAGTTGCCTAATCATAATCCTAAGTCATTTAAAATAACCATAACCCTTTAGACAGTAGTCAAATAATGGGTGGAGCTCCAATAATTCATTAGCAAAACAATCTACCAGTTGATTATCTTAATTAATCATGGAACTAAAATTAGTAACTTAACAATTCTCAGATGAATTATGGTCAAATTCCTTACTAATAATACTACTCTCAATATGGTGCAGGTTACTATAATTAATTCGGCTAAGCTCCATATGGTTAGGGTGTCTATCAACAACAAAACCCACTTGGCCAGTCTTAACAACAATACCCAGGAGTTTTTGAGAATTAGTACAATCCCCACCAATAATAATAGCAATAGTAAAACCAAGTTAATAATCCTTATAATAACCCCTTACCAAATATCAATATCAATGGCGGAGGAAACAATGAGATTGGAATGAATGAGTTACCTCCTTTCGGACAAGTACCAAATAACAGACCTCGTGCATCAGAAGCTCAAATTCTTAATGAAATCTAGAAAATAGATGCAATGAGTGATTACAGAAAAAGATGCCAGGCAATGCTGAGCGCAGACAGAAGAAACAAGATGCTAGTACTTTTAGATATGGGTTTCACTGACTTTAATAAAAATGAAAGTGCTCTACAAAAGAATGGCGATAAACTTGATGATGCAGTAATGGATCTAATGGTGTGATGATGATCACTAGCTAGTAATATCAAACTGCCTTGGAGATATAAACTTTTAAAGTTATCTAAATAGTCCAATTATTCATTAATTATCACAATATTACTTTCAACCTATTATTCGTATCTCCGGGGTTTTGGGGTTTTGGGGTTTTGGGGTTTTGGGG